GAAAAAAGAAAAAAGAGGAAAAGTCTGTGGACATCACCTCACTAAGATTTGTTTACTTTTAGTATTTATTATTCTTTATCACCTTATTACGTTACATTATTATTTTATTATAATTCTGCATTTAAATCTGCACCACCCATACGTCCGTAAGACCAGGACTGCCACCCACCCCGATTTGGATTTGGTTCCAGACAACTGCATGCTAGGACTGCAAGACTCTCTCTCCTTACATTTTGCAAGCTGTCTTTTTGACTGGGTAAGATAAGCCAGCCTTTTTGCTTTTTGAGTACCATGCCATGATATTGCACGCAAAAGAAAATCCAAAAACCCACCCAAATTCCCTCAAATTCCAAGCACTTCCGCTACAGGGGAAAGCTGTCAAGCTGAATACCTCGCAGAAACAAGGTAACCAAGGATGAATAAAACTCTTTGCGCTGCGCTAGTTCTGAGGGGATTTATTGCTTTAAGAGGAGAAAATACAGAATGAGTGCCTGTTCTGACAGCCACGTAAAACTTGCTTCATTTCACTCTGAACAGGCTGGGAAATGAAGAGTAAGGGGCTGTCAAGGTGAATCCAGATAATTAGGTCATCTCATAGAGTCCTGCCTTTTCTATATTGCTCAGTGCTGGACCAAAATTCATTTTCAGATTTTAATCCAATCTCTGCTCTCCTTCTTAGAAGAGACGAAGGCTGAAGGAATCTTTCCGGCATTTAAGGAGAGGCAAAAAGAGATTTAAAATACACAGCAGAGCACCAAGTGCCTTGTTCTTTATCCTCCAAGACTTCCATCTCCTCCTCAGTCGGCAGAGAGGACGCACACTTAGCCAAGACCAGAAAGGAGCTTCAGGATGTAGAGGCCTTGCTGGGAGGGAAGATGAAAGAGTCCTATACAACTTGGTGAGGAAAATCAAGTGCTACAGCAGCACTTTCTCTCTGATTACACTCCTTTGTGCAATGCTCTTATCCAGAGCACTCCCACACAACCTTGGCTCTCCAGCTGGTTTCCCAGAGCAACACCCAGCACCCGGGAGCCTCACAGCAACAACCAAGGTTTGCAGATAAGGGCTCAGCTACTCAGGCATCAGCAACATCATCGCTTACAAATCATGACAAGAACTAATTTTTATTCAGGGGGCAAAAAATAAATTGCTTCTCCAACTCACTGATTGTGGTGAAGACGCTTGTGAAGCAGAAATAATCCACAGCATTGAGTGAGAGCAGGTGATAGAGAAACTGCTCCCGTTCTTCTTCACAGCGCAGGAAAGCATAACGCTTGTAAAGTTTCCTGGTAGAAACAAATACATCGGATTTTATCATTGTTGAAAAAAAAGCACCATGTATCTGAAAGCTGTTTGAATCTCAAAACACCAAATGAAGAGTTGATTTTAACGAGAGGTAAGAAAAGTGAGATTCCTCAGCTAACACAAGCTGCTAGAAACCCAAAGGGGGCATTTACTCCCTATGCTACACAACAAGTGCTTTACAGATCACCGCTGGCTTCACACTACCATAGCAAGGCTACAGAGTTCATCTTGTTAAAGGATCTGTTTTGGTTTTGCTGCAAAGCACAGACAGAAACTAACACCATGCCCAACAGCAAGCCTGAACCAACAGACAGCAACCTAATTTCTTCCCCATATCTTCCCACTGTGGAACAGCCATGCCTAATAACCTAACCTTCCTTCTGCTCCATACTGTGACAGAGAAAACTAAGCAGAAGGCATCGAACCAGGGAAAGCACCAAGTAGCATCAAGGGTCCTTGCCACTGCTCTTTCAGTTCAGTGAACTGAGTGCGCATCACTAATTGCCCAAAGCAGCGCAAAGGCACATTGGGAGCTAGCCTGGCCCTGCTCTGAGAAAGCACAGAGCTTGTGACACGGCATGGAGTCTGAAGGCAACAGGCTCCCTAAAAGCTGCTGAGGTTGGTAGATGTAGATGAAACTTCAGGAAAAGACAGGTCTGTCACCATGCCTTTAGCTGATCACCCAAGAGGTGACTCTCTACAGCTACTCCTCTTCATTCCCGTTAGCAGATTTGAGTATTTGGTAGCTTCCAGCAAAAGTCACGTGTGTAACTCACCACAGAGGCAGAACTGCATGCAATAGCTAGGATATTTTCTTTTCATAAGGTTTTGTTTTGTTTTTTAAATACATTGCTTTGAGAAAAGTCAGGTAACATCTACACAGACAGATCCTTAAGTGCCTGTGCTTGCAAAAGGAGGCAAAGCCAGCGGAGCTGCTAAGTGGCTGGGAGGTCTGGCCTCTAACCCAGCTCATCAGCAGTTAGGGTGGGGGACTGGTTCGGCTTGAGCCAAAGTGACACAGGGCTGCTGCAAGAAAAGGGGCATTCCTGCCTCTGCTGCTTTGTTTGCACCAGATACAGTGATTTTAGGATGGTGAAATGGCTTGGATCAACGAACTAATCTGACCAAAACTTATCGCTTCCTTCCTGAAAATGGTTAATGTGTTTTCCACGCAGATGAGAAGACTTCTGCCCTGCTGGAGGGGCAGTAACTCCTTCTCTCCTGGCTACCCTCTGGCTTTCAATCTTCTGCAGCTGGAAACTACAGGACCCAAACAGGGCGTAACCCAGTGGTGAAAGTGAAGCTTTGAGAAAAAGAGCCAGCTTACTTGGCAAGTGCCTGGTTGGAAAGCAGCTGCTTCAGGTGCTGAGACAAAAGCTTCTTCTCCAGAGAAAGTCGTATCCAGGCTCGGGCTCGCCCCACATCAGTCTTTATCTCACTCATGTTCTGAACGTGCCTGAAACAAGTGGGGAAGAAAATAAAAATGATACATGAATCATAAAAATCCTACATGCTTCAAATGGCAACATCCAATGTGATGTAGCATCTGAATTGGAAAACATCTCCTGACATCGTTTCTAGAGGTGCCCAGCAGAGCCTTGCACTGTGGCAACTGAGACCCCTGACAGCCCCAGGAGGACATGGGGACACTGGGCAACCCTTCCCAGGCACGGGCAGGTCGCAGCCCTGACACACTACAGCCCCTGCCAGCTCCTCTGTGCTCTGGCATTTGCTTGGCCACTGCGAGCAGGGGTAGATCTGCTCATCCCTGCATTGCCTGAGGTAGATGTCCTCATAGACATTGCTAACATTTAAAGAAAGCAGCCACCTCGTGAGACCCAGTTACATCGTGGTCAGTCTTTCAAGATGCTGAGACGAATGGGTGTGTCCGGGAGGGCAGAGGACAAATATAGATCATAACTGTTTCTCCAAACTACAATCTGCTCTGAAGGCTCTATCAAAGCCCTTGACGGCAGCAGCAATGTGAAATCTGAGAAAAAGGATTGTTGGGGCAAAACCAGTGACAGGCAGTCACTAGCAGCATCACACTTTCAGCGATACAAGAGGCCCCGGTGTAAGTGATAATCTGAATAGCCCTTCGCATACTTAGTCTGCAGGAAAGCAGAACTGTCCCATAGGGGCTTTCTTCTATGGTTTTTCTTTTCTTTTTTTAAACTTCCCATATTTCAGTTTGGAGAATGCCAGAAACCCTAGTTTTAGAGCACAGGGAGCTTTAGAAGAGGAAGAGAATTGCCATGGTAGGGTGAAACTGCTTCCAAAAAACCTCCCACTTGGTTAAATAAACAGCAAGAAAAACGAGTAACAGTTTCCAGCAGGGGAAAGAAAAGGCTGCAATTTCTTAATTTTCACACAGTTTGCATGTTAAGTGCACAGGCAATTCATCCATCCCAATCTCTGTGGCAGGCTCCAAGTACCATCAGCTGTGCCCAAACTGAACTCTGTTGCAAGTTACTTTCCAACTCCTGTACCTTCCCTGAAGGCCCTCCGCAGCCTGCTGAGCGTTAGGGAATGTGGCAATATTTACTCCAAAGAAAATCCAACAAAGTCATGCTGTGACTGATGCTTTTTACATTGACTAGTGTAGTCTCACCGTCTCGTACTTTCCCCCATCTGTTACACTCAAGCGCGTGCTTTGTGTTATATTTAGACCCTGAATTATTTGAGAAAAATACTCTCTTGTTTACAGAGCTTCTAACATAACAGGGCTAGGATCTTAAAGGCAAATTTGCAAAGTACAACTTAGTGCTGTCCAGAAATATGTTTGTTCTGCACAAACGGAGTGGATACCAGACACAGCCCAGCAGCACCATCCTCCACCAGGCTGATCTACCCGAATTTTCAAACTACAGGTCTACTTTTGCAATCCAAGCTGAGATGTCTGTATCACACGGCTCTGTGCCAAATGTACGTATCTGCAGCACCATAAGGAAGAAACAATCAATAGCAGTAATGGTAACTTGCCAATGACAAAACGTACTGTGCTTAAAACCCCTTAAAAAATGTGGTTTTTTCTTAAAAGAAACTTTCCTCCTGTTTTCTAATATGACACATAGTTCTCCGACAATCAGTAGAGAAGTACTAACTCTAAGTGAGCTGTAAAACAAAGTCATGAGGGCATGTTACACTCCTGTACAAGTTCTTGCCATTTACAAGCAAGCTCAGCAGCCTCCCACTGCCAGCAGTGATGCCAATCAGCCGAATCACTGCCCAGAGCCTTGTTCCTGGCACTGGAAAGCCCTTCCTGGCTCAGAGCGTGTCAGCCAGGGTTAGACCTCCCAGCCCAGACAGCTGGGCACGTGATTCGGAGTCCTTGGGAAACAGGCTTCGCCCTGCACTCAACTATGTCGTGTTGAGACACCCTCCTCAGACATTTCAAGTCTTTTGAGATGGGAAGATCAAAGCACAGACTATCATCTCCCTCCCCTTTCCCCGCAGTGCTTGGCTTGAATTACATCTAATATGAAACACTGAGCAGAATATGTTATTTTGCTGTGAGGAGATTCAAGTACAGATGGACTCAGCCTTACTCCATACATGGTCTGTGCCTCTTCATAACCCACTTTCTGGTTCAGACCAGACTGGCACTAATGGTGCATTTGGGAAAAATAGGGATCTGCCATCACACATCTTGCCAGAGACATTAAAAAGATTCAGTAATCAGTCTTGGTGTCAGCAAAAGCAGAGTGTAACAGAACAGAGCATTCAGGAACTCAAATTCATTTCACTCTCAGTTGTGAGAGTCAGAACAGCTCTATTTTTATCGGTGACCTAAGCGTGAGCGCTGTATGCTCACCGCCACAGAGCAAACTCTTCTTCTCAGAGCACTGAATAGCAATTTCAATGCAACTCCCTAGGTTGGGACTTGCTTTTAATCCCATTAGTAATAAAGAAAAATCTATTTACCCTGTCAAATGTAAGCCTGGGGTATGTCGAGACATACCCTCTGCAAATAGCCGTGCTGACAGAAGCGGCTACAGCTGCTCAGCATCGTCGTGCCCCCAAGGATGACACACATGTGCCCCATCCCAGCGCAGTCGGAAACGAGCTGTGCCAGCTCGTCCCATGTAGACAGCAGGTTTTTGCAAACCCAGCTTCTTTTGACTGCAGCAGGTTAAACATCACTGCCGTGAGCCCAGCGCCCAGGGCTTGCATCCTCCACTGCCAGCTCCCCGCGGGAGGGGAGGAACGACACAGGCATGTAAGCGAGTGCTGATAGCAAGGAAGAGCTTGCCCGAAAGGGAAGGACCCGAAACTTGAACTCAGCAGGACCAAAGGTTTCGGGGAGTTGTCTTGGTGCTGACTGGTCCAGCGATGTGCCCGAGGGGTGAGGCCATGCTGGAGGCAGGCTGCAGCAGGAGTCTGGGAGAGGGCTGGGAGAGATGCTGCAGCTCCTCACCCAGGGGAAAGGCTGAAGGGCATACCCCCAAACATGCTTGTACAGAGAACCAAAATAAACATCTTGAGCACCTCACCACATCTAAGACGCCTGACTTTGGGAGGGAGGCAGAGGACACACTATGTTACCTGTAGCCGAGGCTCATGGCACATTCAGAGCGTGACTGTGATTCCGCCCTGCTTTGTAAGTTGTTTACATAACCTTGCATGAGCCATCAAAACCAAGTGCTTAGGGCAATGCTTAATCCTCTAGCCATTAGTTCAGTTAGCACCGCAACCCCGGCAATTTAGCAATTACGCATCCTTCTAACCAGCATCAATCTGTGTGTGCAAACAAATGTTAAACAGCATTCCTTCCAAGCAGGAGAAAGTACGCCACGAGATTACGGATGACAAGTTCAACCCACCATCTGCCCAGCATTTTCTATGACCAGACATGTTTGCGGACAATCACAAATACCCAAGATCTTACAAAAGGTAGCGTTCTGATTCTGTAGTTTTTTTTTTCCACTGGAAAGCAGCGGAGACACTCTTGTGATTCAAGCAAGAGAGCTCAGATCTGTGCTGGGCTTTCATTACTCAAGTGGAAGTACGCGGAAGACGAAACGCACGCAGTCAGTGGCGAGCGCACAAAGCCTTGTCTGTCAGCAATCTCCTCCCAGCGCCAGAGTTTCCGCTCCAGATCCTCCTTCGTCCTTTCCTCAGAATGACCCTCTACATGCCTGTCAGCCTCCAACGACAGAATTAAGTAAATAGCTGCCACGTCCCATGAGGGGGATGCTAAAATGACAGACACGTGTTCAAAATGACCTCTTGGTGTTACACCCTTAATTACACTGTATGTAATCTCCTCCCCTCTCTCACATGTTTTAGCCTTACGTGACATGTCATATTCTTCGAAATCAGAGCACAAGGCTTAAACTACATAGCACCAAACAAAAAAGTTTGCACACTGCAGGTGGGAAGTACAGTCGCTTTCTTTCAGAAAAGTTTAGTGGTCTCACATTAGAAAAACATACATCTGCAGTAACACATGTACTAAATACCACATCACTGTAATCATGGTTTTGTGAACTAACTATAATTAATTTTATTTTTACCATAAGATGTTTTGTCATATTTTTATGTGGAAGAAGGACATGGTATTACAGGAAACAATATTCATGTTGCCTCACACAATAAATTGCTAGCAATTGTTAGCAGCTCTTTACAAATGAGCATTTTAATAATTTAGAGGAAGAAAGTAAGATCTTCAGATTTATATTTTGCTCATCTTCAATTTTCAGTAAAACACTGGGGTCCCTTCCAACCCCTAACACTGTGTGTATGTGTGATTGGACAAATTATTGCATTACTCCTCCCCCCACTGCAATCCTCAGCCATGGAAAGTGAAGTGTCAAACAGTGGCCTGATCAAGGAGATGCCCTGAAGAACTTCTGCCTGGTGATTTCGCATCAGCTTCCACCTCTTCTTACTTTCTAATCCTTCTGATTCCCAACCATCACTGCTTACAAAGCTCTCCAGAGCCACACCGTGGTCTCTTACAGAGCACTTGATCTTACTTTGCACCTCAACTTTAAACTCACCCAAATACTAGGTTTGATTACATTTCTAAATTTGTACATTTAATACTATTTGCCATAAAATGCTAACTGAAAAAAGGATATTGCTCAGGCACTGCAAACAGGTTTTTATGTATCTCTGCTTTGTCTATCTACTCTACTTGCTTGGTCAGTAATTTAAAACAAACAAAAATAAAAAAACTCAAAGTACAAGGAATTCTACGTATTTGCTGTTACTTGTAGGAGCTGGCTCTGCTGCTAGAAGAACCCTCCTGGGAAAACAAAAAAAATGAGTAAAATTTGTGTGTTTTACATTGTCTTTTAGCTAAAGTAAATCAACTAACATGCAAAAAAGTTTTGAAAAATAAAAAGGAAACAATTCATAGATTTGAATGCAGGCTGAGGAGAAGGCTTAATTCACCTTAACCTTTGTAGACCCAAAGGCAGTGAGGATGACCTTTACCCTGTGCTGCATTATTAAAATTAATGCTTTAGGAAACAAATTGCTTACCTCATATCTTGTATCAGGGAAACCCTCAAAGTTGGCAGAGTAATTCCCGTGTCAGACTTCCGTCTTTCTGTTCCAACAGCAACTACAGTAGAGAAAATACATGAAATTAATACAAAAATTACAGTAATAGTCTGCAAATGCATTTGTTTTACATACAGCTGAAAACAATCTTAAGTGGCTGGTAGTTGCAATGTTTCTGTGCATTATAACTAACTCTATTCTGGAAATGTAGAAGGAGACAAAATGGAAAATGGCTAATATATTATCTATTTCTTCCTTAATTTGGCAGTGAAGCCAGAGGTTTAGCTTCCTTTTTTGTATGTGAAACATATTAACATAAATCTGCATGGCAATGAGTTTTATTAGTAATGTGTTTCTACGGAAAGCTCACAACTGAGAAGGGCATGATAAAATTAAGCTCCAGTAGCACATTTGATGCTAAGAATGCCACATATTTCTGTGCTCTGCTCTTCTGATCAAACTGCTTTGTGGTGACACATTCTGCTCTCAGGAATTTGTGTCTGCCAGCCACATCGCTTAGCGCATTACTCATTGAAGCTTATTATAAAGTCTTTTCATGAGCGAGACTTGTTTGTCCATAGATGTGTCTTTGAAGACTGATCATACAAGCTCCCATCTGCATGACTTGGAGAACTGGAGAGTCCATGGAAGATGATCCACCAAAGGTCAGAGACTTTTACCACAACTTTGCTTTTTACCCAGCAGCAGCCACTGGGCAGGGAGATCTCAAGGTCATAAAAAAACCAACCTCTATTACAACACAGAAGTAATTTAGGGATTGTAAAGGGCCAAGCCAAAGCATAAACTAAGCACTTAGATTGACAGACAGAGATTAATCACACAACTTCTGAACTGTACCATCCACCAGTATAGAGATTTATTGAACAACGTGCTATTCACATTGGAATTTGAGAGATAGATTGTGCTCACTGAAAGAAAAATATTGGCTGTTTTAGCCACAGGTCCACAACTTTAGCTCCTTCAGAGATCATCTCTCATGGAAGCATTGCTTCTCCCACCTCACTCAGTGCTGATTAAAAGAGAACAAAGGCAGTGAACAGAGATTTTCCACAAAGGGATAAGTATGCTCCTTTGCCTCCAACTACGTCAATTTATTTTGTCCAGATATCAAGGCATCTTCACTATGATTATGAAAGGCCTCAAAATGTAAACATGATATTAGCAAGCGAATACATAAAAAATACTGCATGAATTTAATGTGGTTGCACTGGTCCTCTCAGGCTCAAGTTCATTTGCTGTAAAGCACCCTTCGTGGAGTCAACTGCCAAGTACTTACCTGGGGACTCTGCACTATGCTCTTGCTTCTCTTCTCTCTCCTGGTACTGAAGTAAATGGGACCACAAGGCAGACTTCCCCTGCAAATTGAATACGTAGCACATAGGTTTAAATACATCAGTCAAAAGAAAGAGGCCAGTGAACACAGCAGAACAATAGGATAGCATTTCAGTGGGTAAAACACTCAGTACTGACAATCAACCCTTCTCTCTTGTGCCATGAAACCTCAGGAAGAGGAGAGGACCATCCCATTGACTAAGCAGTCAGATCACCTGCCTTGTTTCTTTGTCCTCTCCCCGGGTTTCCCTTCCAAAGGTTGAAAGGGAAGAAACTACACACCTATTTGACATCATCACTGCAATTTCCAGAGGTATCTAGCATACCAACAAAGCCCCAAAACTCCTCAAATTCTAACAACCAGGGACTCTGAGCCCAAAGATATCTCCCACTGTATGTTGGAATGACACCACGGAGCAGCAGCTTAAAAGGTTGGGATGGCATTCCGTATTTCCTAGAGTACTGTATGCACAAAGTCCCAAGTTCCCAGTACCAACCTGCTTGACCTGCAGACCATGGCTCCAGATTCTTTCCAGGAGATCACAGAGACTAGCAATCAATGTGTTTTCCTCCAGACCTGTTATGTTGGCTTCTCCATGTCCCAGCTCCACTGCTTCATGGCCCATCTTCTCTACCAACATGCGTTTAGTCTATAAAAAAAACCACAAACCCCCAAAGATTTCTAAGAAGGTTATTCAACAAGGGAAAGAATTTATAGATGAGTTCACTCATCTATAAAGTTAAGTGTGCTTAAGCACATTAAGTGTGCTTAATCTAGAGACCATCGCTAATGGCCTGACCAGATAAACTTCAAATCTCTTTATGGAGATTGCAAATTAAAGAGTATAATGAAGAAAAAAAATAAAATAAAAGTTTGTGTAGTTACTCTATACCATCCAATTTCTGTGTCTTTTCTCTATTGTCCTATTCTTACACTGTTGATCATCGTTAATGGGTATAAAAGATGAGTACAGTGCTAGATAGATTTTCAGTCTTAGTCAGTATGTGGTTTTCTTCTTGTTACAGCTATCATAGATTAAAACTCGGGTAATAGAGTATATCACCAACTGCAACTGACAAAAGGAGGTTGTATTTTCATGGCTATAAAAGCTTCTTTAATATCAGAAACTGCCATACTTCATTTTCTCTGCATAAACAACATTCACAACAGCCACACATGCCGAATGCTTCCCTTCTGACTGAGGGTCTTGAACCCATTATGTTTAGGCTACATGTAAAATGGAACAATTAAAGGAAATCCTCCCTAAGATGTCTGATCATGCTGATTGTTCCTTCCTGTCCTTTTTACTCTTTCCACCAACTTTGACTGCACAAACAGAAGAGAGATAACATGTTCCTTTCTTTTCTAACAGTTAAAAAATACAACGCTGAAGGGACATCCACCCTGCACGCCAACAGATGAGTGCTGTTCCAGTTGTGAGGGACTTGGAGGACACCATCTGCAGATGCTACTGAGGCTCAGCATAAAGAAGGGCAAAGCACACAGGCGAGGACCCACCTTCATGCGACATTCCTTCAGCAACCCTTCCACAAATTTCCAGTTGGTCTGCGCAATCACAGCTGGAGAGAGGTCTGAGAGTTTGGGCTGCCTTAAATTTTTTCCTAAACTCCTCGCCTCCTGCATGTATTTCTAAAAATAAACAGAATAATTTTAGATATGACAAGTCAGAGGGATTCTCATCATCCTAATCCTAGGCAAGCAAATGCTGGTGAAAAGGAATGAGCTAGTGTTAATCTAGGAACAAGATCATGATTTGTCTGATGTTTAAGTGGTCAGGCTAGAGAAGCGGAATGCTCCCTTTTGACAATAGAAAAAGCAAGATATTTTCCTGCCTAGTACTGAAACAGTCAATGTTAGCTAGTGAGCTGTGCTGTTAGCCACTAGCATGGTTAGCCACAGTAAGTGCATAAAAGTGCAATACCTCCCTTCAGCAATAAAGTCAAAAGAGCAAGTAAAGTTTCTTAGGTTATTTGATTCTCACTTAAAAAAAAATTTAAAATCAAGTAATTTGTCTAATTTGTGACCAGACTATACACAAATTGAAAAAAAATTAATTTAAAAATAAGTTACAAGAAGCAGAAATACACTTAGTGAAGGAGAAAGATTTCATCTATTACTTTTCATCTGGATAATTATGTCAACTTCTTAACTACAAGTGAAGCTCCTTTTAAACAAAACTGACATTTAGGGTCATTCATATTTTTACTGTGGGGTGGTAATTGAAAAGTATGGACAAAAATTAGCCCACTCTTTATAAAAAAGATCCAAGCTATAATAAAATAATTTAAAACCTTCTTACTCTGCTGCCTTGTTGTTCAAGGGTGGGGTGTTTTTTGCTTTATTTGAGGGGGAGGTTTGTTAAGCCAAAACCCCCCAAACCAGTTGACAAGTATCCTCTGCCCCCACCATCAGTGAGGGGGCTACATGCTGAGCTACGCTAAGAAGTTGGTCGCAATTAGGCGCGCAAATGTGAAGCCTATCAAAATTTGTTAGAGCTTTATTCATAAAGATTTTCTTAAAAAGAGCAAGATAATAGAATGCTGCCAAACCAAAGTCTTGAAACGCAGCGCTCATAGCCTGGCGTGGGGACACTCTGTTTCCATAGCGTGTTTCTATCCAGTTAATGGCACCTCTTTGGAGGACAGTACGTGACAATGACCACTGTTCCCCAAGAGGAACAGATCACGTCCCTCCAGCAACTTCGCTGCTGGCTGGGTTTTCCAGGGAGCTGAGAGGTCGCTACAGCTGCTGCACCCTTAGAGCTTTCTGTCTGGGGAGAAAATAACTCATTTCATAGAATCATAGAATGGTTTGGGTTGAAAAGGACCTTAACGATCGTCTAGTTCCAGCCTCTCTGGCATGAGTAGGGATGCTTTCCACTAGATCAGGAATAGCAAAACCAAACCCCAAATAAACTGAAGTTAATTGAAATAGCTTCCTTTTTTTTTTAATGGGGGAATACAGTTTGTCTGACACAAGTGAATTTTTTCAGTACAGACTTTGGACAAGAATCACTTAACATCAGTGCAACAGGTCAGACAATAACGTAGAGTTCTGCCATGGAAAGCTGCGTTCAACAAAAATACTCAGCTAAGTAATTATAGTTTCACTGATACTGTAAGGACTTAAAAATTATCAGAAAAACTACATGTGGTAATAATAAAAGAAAAATCACAGATTATGAAAGCGTGTTGTTCAGCAAGCAATCTCACAAATGACTTCCATCTAATTCAGTGCAAAAATTAGCAATGAAACAGTGAAAGAGTAATATAAGGAATATATAATTAGGAAATCTACTATCTTTTTAAATATAAAGGGATAAATAAATTACAAAGTGCGGTTATATTCTGAAGAGTACAAAACATGGATAACCTTATTCACTGCATGTCTTGTTATTCTACTAAAATAAAAAAGAAAAAATTATTAACTCTTGTAAGCTCAAGAGAACAGTAAGGCTGGAATGAGAGAACCAATTGATCGCCCTTTGCCTTTTATCAGCATCCACACATCACCACCTACTTCCACATGGGATGTGACGACCCAGCAGTCAGAGAGCAATGCTTTTTGGATTTGACACCCTAAGCTGAATTGTCAGGTGAGCAACATGGGGAAAAAAAAGCAGCAAAACAAAATTCTTGATTTTCAGCCTTGGAGGCATCACGTTTGCCAGGGAGCTGGCATGGAAGCCTAGAGTTGATTTCCAGCTACTTTTCTGATTATAACCACACTTCAAAGTGCTACAGGGATGTACGTGCTTGTCATCTACGAGAAAGGGAGAGATTTGAGGCGCAGCGAAAACAGCAGCTCCTCATGCTAACAACAGCTCAAAAGCAGCTTTCAACAAGAAGAACTAAAACATACCAGGCAGCATTCAGAGAAGGATTTTTTAGGAGGCCGTGCAGGAGGGGGTGGTCCCTGATCCCACTCCCAGAAGGCCATTGAGTTGTGACGAAGCAAAAGCTCCTCCGATGGCTAAGAGGAGGCAGATGCCCCAATGGCAGAACAGCCAGAAAGAAAGAGGAGACAAAGCAAAAGAAGCATGCATATGATCCACAGCCAAAAAAAAAAGAAGAAAGTAAATACATGACACAGTACCAAAAGGCTCTGCTGATATATACATATGAGGCAATGTTTAAAATATACTTGCAAAGCCATGTTAGCAAAAATAGCAACAAACATGTACGAGTGCTGTTTTGTGGCGTTTCCATGAAACATCACTCGAAGTTGAGGTTCAAGAGCCCACTCATCTGTTCAGGTTCTTTCGGAGTGCAAATGCCAACACTATTCAGCAAGATTTAGCACAAAGCAGCATGAATGTTTTATTTTTGCTAGTGACATACAGAAGAAGCACATGGACATCAGTGGGAAAATATGGCAGAAAGTCTTTAATGAAAGACAAGAAGCTGAAAAGATGGGAAAGAAATGCATGTACGTGACTGACATTTACAAGATGCAGGGGAGTTTCCAAGCTTTAGGCATAAAAAGGCCCCAAAGTCTTAACCTTTCAAATAGGCTTACTCATGTCAGGATTTTATGTAAGAGACAGTAGAAAATCTTCTTTAAAAAAACAAAAAAGCCCCGCCTCAATCGCCTCTGCAGCGCTGACATTTATTCAAGGACTTGACTTTTGCAGAGACCTTCAGCCTGGCCAGAGCTTGGCAGCTGCACCCAGGCAGACCCCAGGGTTCTGCTCTGAGGGCACAGTAACAAGACCAGGGTCTAAATCATCAAATAATCCATTTTGCTGATGACAAAGTGGCCGTCTCTGTCCAAAATAATAAAAGCATTTTATTTCTGTTGTGTGCTTTGAAGTTGTACAACATATACAAGCATCTGTGACAAGCAGTGTCTAAATGGCTACAGAGACCCACACAAACCTTATGATAGCCACAAAACTTGCCCCAAGTAGTAACACATCAGTTTGTCTAAACCTCATCTCCTGGATCACAAGCTCGTGCCACCCGTGGATGATGCCACCTACCTCCCTCAAATCGTTGTCCAGCCCGATGTGCTCCGAGTGCTGCCGCAGCCGGTCTTTCCTCCGCTGCGTGGTGGTGCTGCGACTGGCCCAGCGACTGGGAAGTCAGAGAGAGAGAAAGAAGACACACGTGAGCGGAAAAAAAAAACCATGAGGGAAAGCCTGGGTCAGGAACTAGAAGACATCCGACAGGTCTGCAGCAGGAGGAACCAAAGGACAAACTTAGATCTTGCAGCAGAGGCCGGTGCAAGCTTGTGGCTGACCTCCCCTGTGGGAAACTGCCTGGCCAAGGGACAAAAGTTTGATAGAAACATGCTCCCTGCCTGCCGTGGTCTCCAGGGAGAGCTCCCCTGTCACCCGAAATACAGGTCATGCCATAACATTGATGCCACCACCAGGTAAACTGTTGTACTTAGTTACCCAACATCACCACTGTTTGCTGCATTTGCTGAAGCTGGAGAAAAATGGCATCTGTAGGAACAAACAAAATGCAATGATGTATCTTGAGTAGCAACTTCTAAGATTTCTCCCTTGTGAGAGGTGGTACTTCTCCTTTCTCTGCTTTCTGTGGCACTTCCAGAAACTACTTCAGAGAAACTTCTCATTGTGACAGTAACTACTGTGATATTTGGTGCATCTATGTCTAAAGACTGTAAACGATAAATCATATTGCTATCTTCACTGTATCTTTTTTTTTTCATTGTGTTTCTAAATACCACAGAAAGCCTGTATTTTTTCTGCATGTTTATATATGTCTAGTTGAATTTTTTCCTCATGTGGAGCTGTTGCCTGAAAGCAGACACTTGGTAACCAGGTTTGAAAGGAGCAACCTTAAACCCCCCAAGTATCCAAACTCCTTTATGTCAGACATCATAACAAAATGAGACAACTCTGTCCCAAGCAATTTCTAGTCTGATTGCAGTGCTTCTAATGATACTATAGCCTTCTGCTAAATCCTTGAAAACAAAAATGCTCAACTAGTGCAGAGAATAAAGTTGATACATTCTTTATATAAGAAAGCTAAAGCAACACTGTATAAAAGAACTATTAAGCATTAAACATGAATAAATACACATGAAAGCTGTATCTTCAGAATCATATTACTTAACTGCTATGGTTGTGTTTACTAAAGCTTAAAACATCTTTCAAATGCAGTAAAATAAAAAAAAAGCCTTCAAGTGTGTAGCCTTTCAGTTGCATCATGAAATCATCTGTTCTACCTCTCTCCTGCACTCAGAAGTTAAAGAGTAAAACCAAGGTGAAGCAGAACACAAAGCCTGCCCAGGGCAGTGCTGTATCTGTAAGGCTCTACATATGGGAAGAAACTGCCTAGAAGAATTTGAAGGAATAACCTAAATCCAGAAGGGAAAAAAAAAGAAAATTAAAAAAGAAAAAAATTACACTATGAACAAAACACTCCACACTCCTCAACCTCAGTACTCAAGTCAAAGGGATCCTTCAAAATCTGTCTCCATCCTGGCCCCTCTAGTCCAGACTGAAGTGTTCGTGCTGGGCACCACACCAGAACGAGTGCCCTGAGACAGGTTCTTCTGCAGGAGCTGTGATCAAAAGGCAGAGTCCCTGGGCACTTGGGTTCTCTGCCTTTGATAGATCTATACAGAGGGAAACTTAAGAGATGCCGACACCAAAGACAGAAGCGTGTGCTTGGCGAGCCTCTCCACACATGTGGTATTGGCAAGGACAGCAGCAGTTTCCAGATCCAAACCCCATCTGTTTGTGTGTACACTCCCTACAACAGCATATACAAACAAGGTTTGGGATCTGAATTGTTTGGGCAAGGAGTTGCAGCTGGTGACATTTAGGCAGATGCCTACGTGATTCCTCTGGAAGAGGAAATCCTTGCACAGAGCTGGGCTTTGGTCCTGACATGTCCAGCAAATTACTTGGGATGTGTAGCAAGGGGAACCTGACCAAAAAGAAGTGCAGCGATGTGACCCCTGGTAACCAAACCTTCCTGCTCCCAGACAGAAGGACTTTGCATACACATATCTAATTATCTCCACTCCAGTGGGTTAACCAAAGACCAAATTTTGGATAATCACACAGATAAAACGGGTTAAAAAAGTCACAGAACTATGTTTTTTAGAGTCAAACTGAATTCCCTTCCTACCTCCCAAATAATGTCAAGAAAATAAGTAACATAGAAGAAAAAATCCATTTAAGTCTGCACATAATTATGGTTCAGCACCTCACCATCTCATATGACAAGAAATTTATTTTTAAAGCAAGTCTTTGGTAACTAAACAAAACAGCCTAATAGGTGTCTGCACAGCAAACATTGATACCTTCTCAGAGGAATACATTACTGACATAAGTGTCTCAGCACCTCCTCAGAAGTCTTAAAAATATACAACCTGTGAATTTAATAAGTCACCATTTTTATTTGTTTTTCAGAAGCAAGGAGGTGTTTCTCACCAGATGACTGTAAGAGGTGAAACAAACTCCAACATTTTAATAATCTCAACAAATAGAAATGCAACAGACAAAATACCCCCTCAAAAAGTGGACAGCAGATGTAAAGGGTGACTTTAGCTACCTGGCTCTGGAGACCTTCCATTTATTGCAAGTAAATACCATGTTCACACTTCAATACCAATAATACACTGGAAAGTTAAGCTACAGATAAAATATTACCCATGTCATATATTTCTGCTCCAATTTATATGGTATTTTCTGAACTCTAGACAAAGCTTGGATCCCCCTCCACCTGCATATCTGCAGATAGCGGAAGATGTAAGAATTGCTACAAGCATCCTTTGAGGGAACACGTCTCACTGAAGGTGAAAGCAGAATGAAAGCCACAGAATAATTACAAGTAACACACCATCATTAAAGCATTTTCAGTTAATTCCAGCTCTGTACTCTACCTGGGAGAAGGCACAGACCATTCTATTTGAACATTCGAAGCATACACATGCAAAGTTCATTTGGTGTTCATGAAAAAAAGACTGCTGGTCATTAGCTGGAGCAATTACACACGTGCAGTGAGTTGTGCGCTCCCTTTTCCCCAACCTCTAAGCGGAGGAAGAGGGGCCGCCAGGGCACTGGGTGACATCTGTGCATTCGGATGCTGCTCTGAATCTCTCCAGGAGGTTTTGTGAAGATCTAACAGTAGATAAGCAGGATTAAGCAGCTAAATCTTTCCAAGTCTTTTCTTTACTGGGCCACCCAGAATTTCCCCAAAATAATGCTTCACTATTACAATAACCACTCCCTCTCCTCACATCAACAGAGATTGCATTTTTAATTACTCCTCCTCAATCTTTAAGTGCTTTTAAGTGGGCTAAAAGTCCTTCCCAGCGGCCACACCACCTCCCTTGGGTTGCCGAAATCCCAAGGGGATGCCTCTCCCGGCCCTGCCATCAGGTGCCCTGGCACTGCTGAAGCAGTGAGAAAAGCTGTACTCACACAGGCAAACGCCTACTTGTTGTCAGCCCTTAGTCTTGGGCTTTTCAGCTAAATCATAACCCTCTGTGTTGCTGTGGAGCAGATGCCTGAGGAGATGAAGCCCTCCTGGCTGGTCACTGCCTTAGCGGGGAGGTCCAAGCTGCCCGGCACCTGGGACCACATGCAGCACTGCTGCCCAAGTATTCCCTGACCCCCAAAAATGCCCTCTCCTCTTTATTTTTTGCCTGTAGAGCCATGAGCATGGAAGACTGGTATCTTTCTTTTGTTCCTCACAGCGGAGGCATTTCAACAAGCACCAAGTCTCTAGGGACAAAGCAGCTGCAGCTCAGGCTGTGGTGGAGAGCCCAGGGACAAGCTGCCTACATGGAGAAGGGAGAAAAGGTTCATTTCAGCAGTCTCTCTGTATTTCACTCCCATGTCCAAAGGTGAATGTTCTTCATCTCCAGAGACTGTGAAAAAGCAGTGATATTTCAGAGGTGGGACTAGGAAAGACTGCTCCATTCCATATAAAGAAATGAAATGAAGGCACCTCCGACTAAGACCCTTTTAACCTGAAGACAGTGAAGTCAGTACTGTTTAATATCAAATTCGACCCAACGAGCATAGGAACAGGCTTGCAGAGGTTGGAGGAAATGGAAAGCTGACACTTGGAAAAGATGATACTCTAACCTACGATGCTTAATTTCTGTAATAAAAATGGTAAGGCAGTCAGCGTCAAAGCTGAACTGTCAGAAACCTACATAGCAAAACTGCAGCCTCCCACCAGGGACTGGACATGCTGTACTGCAACCATGCGTACATCTTCCTCTCTCCCTGCCTTTCCCTCCTGCCTCCTTTTTTAAAGCTCCACAGAGAAATAAAGAAATTATGCCTACCCAAAACAGACATGGGTGTAACAGGTGGGATATATACTGCAATACATGCAACATGCTGCTAGAGACCTTAATTCACAGATGGCTTTAGCCAATACTGTCATCCCCAAGAAAAGTACTATCCTAATTTAAAATCTGTTTACAGTGATAACAGAGAGAAGGAAGAAGACAAAGATATCTATTTAGGACAGAATACAAATCTCCTCATATAGGTCATATCCTGAGGTAGACTACTATCTAGGTCTGCAAATCGTGGCAACACCCCTCTCATTTATACACTTCCAGCAAAGGAGTTATCTGTCTGCATTTCTGTATTTGTAAATTAGCATGTAGCTGTGCTACACCTGCCACCAAATGCCCCTAAAGCACGCAAGTAGCCTGTGCACGTTAAATACATCCAGACTGCACACGTAATCTGCTTGGGCTCAGAAGCTGTTTGCATAGGACTACACAGAGATTCCAAATCAAATACATATCCTACCAAATATACTAAAATTAAAGTCGAAACCAAGCTCTACCTGATCACGGACAGGCTCCCAGGGAAGAGGTTTTGCACTGTTAATCTGCACTGCACACAGTACTCCATGGTAAGGAGGATAATGGCTCAAATAGAGACTAATGCACCTTTTCCATCTCTGCCGTAGGGCTGGGCAGGAAAATTTTTAAGCGGCTGATCAGGCGGACAAAAATGAGCAAAACGCCTTGCAGAGCGTGGTCTTGCACTGACAGGCCATCTTGTCAGATTGTGTGAAAAGAAGTGATCGAAAACGGTGATACCCACAACCCTCATCCTCTG